CACAGAGACAGAAACTCAATGGCCAATAAACGTAAATGGTGAACAAACACAAGACAAGATGTTCTATCTTATTAATAGTCGAGATAAGCAAATTAAAGCCACTATTCACACTGGAAAAAATGAAGTCTGATAATATCAGGTACTAGTGAAGATGTGGAACAGAGCTCAATGCACGCACACCCTAAAGAAACTCTTGCCTATGTGCCATGAGCACACACGTGCTCATGTACAGAAACAGTCGCGGTAGCACTGAGAGTTACAGCAAAAACACTGGAAGCCACTCAATTGTCTACCAACAGCAGCCAAGCTTGTCTACACAACAGCATCCCATAGAGCTGAGCATACATGAGTTATACCTACATACAACAAAGGTGACTCCCACAAACAATACAAAATAGACCAAAATGACCAAGTCACAGACGATTCCAGAAGATAATTCTACGCATATCAAGATTAAAATCATACAAAACTAAACTGTATATTATTTAGGGGTGCAAATATGTGGAAAAAATTATAAAGAGAAACAAGGAATGATAAATACAAAATCAGGAAAAAGTTCCCTGTGCGGGGGAGAAAGGGTGGCAGGATCGGGGCGGAGCACACAGAGACCTTTAAAAGTAATGGTAATGTTTTTTATAAAAAACTTCGTGGTAAGTATACACATCTTTGTCATTATTCTTTATAACTTATGTTTTAGAAATGTTCTTTTATATATATCATATAAATATGAAAGTATGCTTATAACATTTTATATGATATTTAATACTTATATAATATCTAAGAAAACTAAATTTTTAAACAGTAAAGAGATTATATTGGAAATGAAAATAATAAATGGGAACTTTTTTTAAAGTTCAGAATGAGTAAAAAAATGAATGAATTTGTTTAAGGTTCACGCTTTCTCTAAGTTGAAACATTAACATTCTTTTTGAACCTCATTGATATAACAAAATTATTTCTCGTAGTCTAAAATTAAACTTTTCTTTGAACATTAAAGGTCATGTTTGCCAATATTTGAAAAAAACAACTTGTGCAGAAAATTCTACAAGGATTCTCATGATGATAAATGTGTTCCTGGGAAGCATCACCTGTACAATGTGGCATGATACTGCTATTCCTGACCTGCAGGTCTTGGGAACTACATTTGCTTTAGACATGTTCGGTTGAAGCAGCACAAGCTAGGTAGAAATCAATCTGTATTTGTTGTAACAGTCCCACTACCTTCAAACCATTTCTTTCCCTCTTCCATACTCATCTATTATTGCTAATAATACACATAGAAAACTTCAATACAACAAACTACATTGGCCACCCAAACTGCTGTGCTGCAGAACTTTAGTAATTAGAAATTACTCTAGAAACTATGCTAGGGATTGACCTTCCTTATAAACTGTATAAACAGAGTGGACACAGAGCCTCTTTGAGATTCATTAGCAAGTAATCTATCATTTACTAGGGATGGAGAGAAGTGTCAGCACATGATATTCTCTTTTCCTTTACTTCAGGTGACTTTTTATTGGCTGTTTAGGTGTGTGTGTGGGGGGGGGGGGTTTGCTTTTTTTTTTTTTTTTTTTTTTCTTTGCTTTGGGTGGTTTTTTTTGGGGTGTTTGGGGGGGTGGGGGGGGGGGGTTTGGTTTTTTTTTTTTTCTTTGCTTTGGGTGGTTTTTTTTGGGGTGTTTGGGGGGGTGGGGGGGGGGGGTTTGGTTTTTTTTTTTTTCTTTGCTTTGGGTGGTTTTTTTTGGGGTGTTTGGGGGGGTGGGGGGGGGGGGTTTGCTTTTTTTTTTTTCTTTCTTTTGCTAGTATGTTTTGGGTGCCTGAAGTGGATAAAAGGGAAGAAAATTAAAGGGGTCTGCTGATGAAATGATCACTGGCCGAGAGCTGAGAAATCTGTGTACACTTCTTTGATCTACCCAGCAACAGGATGCGAAACCTTGGGTAAGTTAAGTTAGCTAGCTCTTCTGATGCATAGTCTCATCTGAGGCAGACAGCTTACTTCATCTCTAAGGTCCCAAACAGCCCTTATACTTTCTTTTTCTGCTTTTCTTTCTATATTTGCTTTCTTCACTTTTCTTTTTCAAGTCCAATACTGAGGTCCCCTACTGGCCAAATTCATCCATTCATTTGATCACTATTTACCAAATGCCTACTCTCCACTAGGTCCTTCAGAGCACTGGGTATAAAGTGCTGAACAATACAGACAAAAGCCCTAGCATGGAGCTTACCACATTCAAGTTAAGATGATGGACAATAAATATGTCAGAAAAGTAAATATACAGCATGTCAAATAGTGCTAACTGCTGAAGGAAAAGAATAAAGTGGGGAAGGGGAGAAATAAAATGTTGAGAAGGGTGATCAAAATCGCAAATGGTCTGACCAGGGAAGGCCTCCCTGAGGTTGCCTGAAGAGAGTGAGGAAGCCCTGATGCAGACAGCTGGGCAGATGATCCCGGCAGGAGGAAGGCACAGGAGGAGACCCAGAGGCACGTGCCCACCCTGTTTGAAGAAGAGCAACATGGCCAACTGACATATTTTTAAAGGATCACTTTCGCTGCTATATTCATATTAGACTAGGTAGCAGGGGAGGAAACAGGAAGACTTTGGCCAATGCAATAATTCACATGAGGTGATGAAAGCCTGGGCCAGGAGGGGGCTGTAGGGGTGGTGAAAGAAACAGAAGAACCAAGGATAAAGCCAAAATTTTAGCTCAAGTTGCTATTTTCCAGGACAGAAGCATTTTCAGGAGAAATTTCTTGTTTGTTTGCTTTTGCAGGGGGAGGCGTGGGGAGGGAGGGGATTGTGCATAACAAGAGCTCAGTTTTCAATCTATGACATTTGGGAAATCTATTAGATTCTCAGCAGAGATGTCAAATAGCAGAGACAGCATAAGTGGCCTTTCTAGCATGAGCACTGAGCAGGCAAAAAGCAATTCTATACATCCACATAACATAACTCTTGTAGACATTAAAAAGAATGAAATAGATCTTCATGTGCTGACATGGAAAGATCTCCAAGATTTATCGTTGCATGAAAAATGTGTAATTCTACTTCTGGACGAATGTATCTATTGTTAGCCACTTAAATACCTCTAGGGCATCGGTTATATACTTCTGTGATGATTAATCCTATGGGTCAACTTGGCCAGGCCTCATTCAGTCAGCTGAAGGCCTTAATAGAAAAAGACTGACCTTCCCAAGCAAGGAGGAATTTAGCCAGAAGACTGCCTTTGGCCTTGAACTGCAACTCTTATACGTACATACACACAACACACACACACACACACACACACACACAACCTGTTGGTTCTAATTCTCTGGAGAACCATGATTAATAAAACTTATAGCATACATTTCAGCAATATTTAAACATTTTTTTACGATAAGCACGTATTACTTTATAATCAGAAAAACAAGAATGACCACAAATCTTAGATCTAGTAAATAAAATTTAGATTACATTGAGCAATGCCTTTACATGTACCACTACACATACTTGTATACTTTATACAAATAAACTACCCATACACCTCTATAAATGATAAAGCACTAAGCAAACTTACATTACTATTAATATCCTTCCTATCTCAATGGCTACAAAATCACTATCTTTTGGATCCAAGTCATAGGCCTCTCTGATACTCTCAATAAACTTACAGAGCTATCAGAAATACCTGAACATGAGCTTACATACTGAACAGGTACCCAAAGGACAGAAACAGATATTTCACAGATTGCAAGTAATACCTAGTAATGAATACATGATGAAATACTCAAAAACAATAGCAATAAACAGAGAAATAAAAATTAACATAATAAGGTACCTTTTTAACAAATTATTTTGAAAATTGTAATAACTAATACCAGTACTTAGTTTAACTTATGTTAAAATAGTAACAAATACTAAAAAAAAGCAAATAAAATAAAATAGTAACAACTAATAAACCTTTTTTAGCAGATAAAGTAAAACAATTTTGAAAATTGTAATCAATACTAGTGAAAGTACAGTTAAAATGGTATTCCGATATTAGATAGGTGATGTTCTGAAGAGATATGAAAAAATGGTGCAATAAACCATAAAATTATTCACAACTTTGATTCTATTTAGGAGGAAACATATCTTTTTTTTTTTTTCCTTTTTGTCTTTTTTCGTGACTGGCAATGGATCTCAACCCTCAGTGTCGCGCCCGTACCGGACCGGGACCGGCAACGGGATCGCAACCCTCGGTGTTGCTCCTGCACCTCGCTCAGCCGGTGAGCGGCTGGTCTGTATGTGGGATCCGAACCCTCGGCAGGAGCGCCGCCGCGCTCCCAAGCGGTGCACTGTAGCAGTGCGCCACCGGGCCGGCCCAGGAAACGTATCTTATACATATTTTAAAATATACCTGTTTGAAAAAAAAAAATTCGAAACGTCAAAAAAGCAAAACACATGAAGCTAGCTGTTCACTAGAATTCCATTTATAATGGCAAAAAAGTAGAGGTAAATGCCTAACAGTTAAATACCTAACAGTCAGGTTGTAGGGATAAGTAAAATATGTCACACCGGTTCATCAGAATATTATACATAGCTCCATTAAATTGACGCTTATAAATATTTTATAGTAATATGAAAAACTAATAGGATCTTAAAAGTGAAAAAAATCAAGATACAAAATTATGATTAAATATCATTAGAAATGTGGATTTGAAAGAACCTGATAGAGAAAACTAGAAAGAAAACAGAAAAAAAGTCAAGGTCATTATTTTCAAAAGCATCTTATATAACATGCTCTCATTTTAATTATAAGAACACAGAAAATCTTCAACAGAAAAAAGCACTTAATACTCAACAAACTAAAAATAATTTTGCAAACTATTTTCTCTCTAATAAAAAGGAGACATCTCAATTTAATAGCAAAATAAAATCATAATGAAGCCAGTTTCAAACACATGAGCTAAAACTAGTTGAACACCTTTTTTTCTCTGTAAATTAAAACAATACACAAAGTAATAATTATTTCATACTTACCACTGTACCAAGAAACTGAATGCTCATGTTTCCACCTGCTTCTCGAGAAAGACACTAAAAAAAAAAGGTATTGAATAAATTCGCATCCATACAAAAACTTGAACATGAATGTTCATAATAGTCAACAAAACCCCAAATGTCCATCAACTGATGGATAGATAAGCAAAATATAGTATATCCATACAGTGGAATATTACTTACCCATAGAAAGCAATGAAATACTGATACATGTTACAACAGAAGTCAGTCACAAAGGGTCACACACTACATGAGTCAATTTAATAAGAAATGTCTGGAATAGGCAAATCCATAGAGAAAGAAAGTAGATTGGGGGTTACCTTCAGGAGGAGGATGGGAACAAATGAAGAATGGCTGTTCACTGTGTGGGGTGAGTTTTTCGGGGTGGGGGGAACATTCTGAAATTGACTATGCTGACGGTTGCACAACTCTGTGAAAAGACTATAAACCAGTGAAGTGTAACTTTACATGGGTGAACTGTATGGTGTGTGAATTATATCTCGATAAAGTTATAAACATGAATTAGCATTTGTTTAAAATACAATGAGAACAATGCAATTCTATGTTCAGAGAATAGTGAAAAAATCTCTATGCTATGCATTTATTTGTAAATAAAATATGTTCAAAGCAAATACAACATTATTATTTATGTATATATCTTACTTGTTCAAATTTTAGTTAATAGTAAACACTCCTACTAAAAATGGATGTCTAAATAGTAAAGTAGAAGTTACATTTTTTTCAGATCATTCTCACCCGTAAAATTGCTCTATTTAATCCTGACCTGTTCCTCAAAATTCTTCCTTTTCTGTGCTCTTCAGAGAGGGCCCAGTGGCTTCAAAGACCACACACACAAACAAAGCAGTTTTAACTAAGCAGCATGAATTTTTTTAAAGTTCCCAAAGGTAATCCTGGAGGGATGATTAGTGGATTTCAGTCAACCACATACATGAACTATTACAGATGTATCCTAATTTTGTTCCTTTAACAGAAGTGAAGGTTTACCAACTCTGACCTCTATGATCACTAAAGTCACACAACCCAGAGTGAACATCTAGAACTCAAGCTGAGCCCCTAGTTCCTTGATTGAGGGAGGTTGGATCAATAAGAAGGAAAGTGATTTAATGCCAAATGTTTTCCCCTCCCTGCAAACATTGCCAGTGATTTGACACAACAGTAATCTGACTAGCACACTCAAGGCAGTGTGATATAGAGTAGAAAATTCAAAACCAGTATGCCGTCATTTGACACATTAATTTCACTTCTAAGAATTTATCCTAAGGAAAAATATTTATGAGTAGGCAAAAAATTAAAGCTACAAAAATTCTATCACAGTGTAGTTTATAGAATTGAAAAATGTGAAGCAAATCATGGTAAATCCAGGCAGCCATTTAAAAATTTTAGAGACAAGAAAAATGTTTATGGTATATTTCCAAGTGCAAAAAGAAAGAATAAAACAGTATGTTCAGAATATGTCTTGGGCCGGCCTGGTGGCACACTGGAGAGTGCGCTGCTTGGGAGTGTGGCGGCGCTCCCGCCGAGGGTTTGGATCCCATGTGGAGACCGGTTCCCGCTCACTGGCTGAGTGCGGTGTGGGCGCAACACCGAGGGTTGCGATCCCGTTACCGGTCAGTAAAAAAGACAAAAAGGAAAAAAAAAAAAAAAGAACATGTCTTGTAAAAAAATTCTATAATAAAAAATTCTATAATAAATAAGGCACATACGATAGTTAACTGTTATTTCTGGGTAGAAAATATTAGTTGAACTTTTTTTCTTTTTTGCTGATCTGTTTTTCCTGTTCTTTCATATAGACATATTTAACTCAATAAAAGCAAAAAGAGATAGAAAGAATACAGAATAGAAGAAAACAAATTATTTTCCGTAGTGTCCTAAAGGAAACTCAATTACAAACTGAGTGTTGAATCCTAGCCTCAGATACTGGCGCCCCACTTTAGTCATCCACCTAACCATTCCCCCTCTATTGGCTATGCGTAGAGCATCACTAGTAGAATTAAGTTCCACCTTCCAGGACACTAGGACAGCAGAGTTATAAAATAACTATAATTCAATAGGACAAATCCATAGTACAAAATGGGATAAGAGGCCAAACCAACTAAATGCACGGAAAGGTTAAGGAAGACTTGTATATAAACACTAGAGCTGGGTATTTAAAAATAAGCAGGATACAGTCATTATGGAAAATAGTATGGTATTTCCTCAAAAAATTGAAAATAGAACTAACATGTGATCCAGCAGTCCCACTACTATCAGTATGTTGAAGCAATATCTGTACTCTTATGGTCATTGCAGCATTTTTCACAATAGCCATGATATGGAATCAACTTAAGTATCCATCAGTGGATGAATGAATAAAGAAAATGTGGTATACATACACAATGGAATACTATTCAGCCTTAAAAAAGAATGAAGTCCTATCATCTGTGACAACATAGATGAGCCTGGAGGATATTATGTTAAGTGAAATAAGCCAGGCACAGAATGACAAATAGCACATGATCTCACTTATACGTAGAACCTTAAAAAGTTGAACTCATAGAAGCAGAGAGCATAATGGTAATTACCAAGGGTTTTGGGAAATAGAGGGAGGGCTGGAAAGATATTGGATAAGGTATACTACATTTAAGTTAGATAGGAATAATAAATTCAGGAGGTCTACCATATAACACGGTAACTATAGTTGATGGCAATGTATTATATTCTTGAATATCACTGACAGTATATTTTAAGTGTTCTCACCATAAAAAATTGTAAGTTTGTGAGGTTATGCACATAACCTTATTATTAGCTCAATTTAGCCACTCCACAATTTATACATTTCCAAAACATGTTGTACATGATATTTACAATTTTTATTTGTCAATTAAAAAATAAATACATTTTTTAAAAAAATGAGCAGGAATTCTCCAAAAGGAAATTGAAAGAGGAAAATGTCAAATCAGGGGAATACATGGGGCAGTTTATACAAAATTTAGATGAAGAGAAAACAAGGTCAGCTTACAGAATGGTGAGTAGTTCAGCATGGACAGAGTTAGGGTTGGTCAAAGGGCAGAAGTAGCAAGAAAGAAAACTGGGAAGGAATTATAAAGCCAAGTCACATCTTGTATTTAGAGACAGAGTTCACACTTTACAAAATTCTTATACGTAAGAACTGGGATGTGAAGTGTTTATGCTTTAGAAAGACTGACGGTCTGAGGTAAGGCCAAGGATATACAGCAATGCGGAGGGACGGGGATAAAAGCCACGTAAAATCCCACTGCAGTCACTCTGGTAGAAGCCTGACTGGCTAGGCAAGCACAACAGTGGAACTAAGGACCTTAGAACTGGGAGGTGAACAGACCTGAAAGATTGCCTGAATTCTGTTCTAAGGATGAGGAAACTAAAATATAAGGAATATAAAGGACAGGAATATAAAAAAGTAATTTGCCTACACAGTAGCCAGAGAGAAAGAATCACAGCCCAAGTATTTTCACTGTGCAGGATGGAGTGTCTCTACAACGTCTTAGACTAACCACATGGTGAGTACTTTAAGGACAAGGGCCATTTCTTGCACTTCCCTCCTTAACCCCAGCATCATACAAGCCAGTGCTGCAGAAATGAAAGCACAAGGTCAGTCTTTACCAAGGATCCTTTCTCCATACTATGAAAGATAAGAGTGATCTACAGATCTCTCAATCATTAATTGTCTAGCAGTAGAAGTTTTGCTGGGGAGAATTAGAGGTGTAGTTGTCAAGAAATTAAGGAAAGGAATGTTGCAGAACCATTTAGATTGTGGACCAGTGATCCAAAAACATGCTAACTTCTGTGCTTTTGAGGTTTTAAGAGTGATAAGGAAAGCACTCAGTTAAAGCATCCCTATTACCACCAGACAAAGACTCATCCCAGAAGTGGCTAAATTTTCCTTCCTTAGTAGCCTGAAGCAGAAAGAAGAATCACAAGGCCTAGTCCACATTTCCCAGGATAGAATCAGCACAATTAATTGGCTCTGTAACACAGCAACAGATTCAATCTTAGGAATCCATCACTAGATAAAATTCCTGATTTTAAAGTGTGGGTCTTGGATTCTGGGAAGATGGCAGTGGTGGCATGATTTCTGAATCTTCCCCAATCTCCTATAAAAACATAAAGAGAACTAGAATAACAAGACAAAAAACTCACAGATTATAGGTAGACAAAACTAGATGACAAAGTATCCTCATGAAGCCCAAAATACAAACAGATGGGGACAACCCAACAGTTGCTACAAGACCTGCACTTGGATGCCACAGGGCAATGAAGGGATCTAAGAATTCCAAAACTAACCAAAGATATTCAGGGGATTTGATGAGGGCCAATTTGAGGACAAGCAAGTGAAACTGGATAGGGTTTGGTCAGTCCAATCCCAGGGGAATACATGGATCTATAGTAAGATCTGAGATGGTGGAGCAGTCTGGACACTTTGGACTCCAAAACAACCAGCCAAAACTCCCTTGAGAGTGTCAGAGCCCCACAGTGAAAAAAAAGTGCTGGCAATAGAAACCGAAATGAATAGGTAAGGGGAAATAGATAACACATATGTAAAAGTCCAGATAAAAATGGGGGATAGAAATAGTGACATAGAATTTTATGGTATGCAAATTACATCTCAATACAGCTGCTAAAAATATAGAGCCAAAGATCTCAAAAGGCCATATTTTTTAAACAAAGAGAGAGTTACAGCCATGAAGAAAAGCTATCCTGAACCATATATCCCCACTAACTGTAAAAAAAGAAAACCCCGAAAAACCTAAACTAACTTCAAGTAAAAATGAGCAATAGACAAGTGTCAAGGTCAAAATCCATATAAACTTATAATGAAAAGGAGAAGAAGGTGCAGAATTTAAAAAATGATGACAAAAAAAATGATGGCATAACAAAAAGCCATGCACACAAAAAAGATGAAAACCATAACCTAATAATGCAAGACATAACACAAGATCTAAAGGAACAACATAGATCTCCTGGAAAATGAGGGGATAAAACTCAGGAAATAAATAAAA